ATGCAATACTTCCTGAGGATTGCGATCTCTTTGACTGAATTGGTTTCCCAATCAATGAAATCGACTTTCTTTAAGAGCTTTCTCTCCGCATATCTCAGCGATCGCACCATTACTTCAACACAACTCTAGCCTTATATCCAATGAATACTCAAAACACAAATCAATTCACATTTACTTCACAATCAAATCAAAACCAATAGTAATGACAACCGATTGAATGCAATGCTGAGTACATGTGCTCTCTATTCAATCAAAACAATACCAATATATGAATGCGAGAGACATCTGGTGTCGAGTGGGCTTTCACTGCAATACAGCACTACATTTACAGTGCATTCATATAAAGCTATATATTAAGCCCAATAGGTTATAGTGAGTCCCTGTAGCGCAGTGGATAGCGCGTTGGACTTCTAATCCAAAGGTCCGGGGTTCGAATCCCCGCTGGGATGCACACACTTTTGCTTTCATTATATTTTATTTTCTACCAATAATTCACATTTACATTAACGACAATCTTTTATTTCACATTCATTTCTATGATATTACATCATTTATTTTCAGTATTACAGAAATCATGACCAAGGTCTACAATTATGGTTTGGGACAATCCTCAAATTTGACACAAACATTGTTAACTTTGTCGCGAACTGTTCCCGATATACAGACACACGAAGGCTTATGGATGATGGCCCCACATACAGGTCCCACCGGATGTTCACATGAGGTCGGACAGGCCGACACACTTTCCGCGTATCTTTCATTCACTTTGCATTCAATGGGCTGTTGTTTGGTTTGTCTGTTCAATGAATTCAACAAAACTTTATAAACTTTATCAAAGAGTATTCAAATGAAATGGTGGTATACTTCGGGCACTGGTCCATAGCTATACATTTTCCAGATGCCGTGTCCCTGATTGTGCCGTCAGTGCACTGACACGACGACACATTTCTATACGACGAGCACCGGGCGGTGTGAAGGGTCAGACAGTTTAGGGGACAGACAGGTGTGTATTGGTATTCAAATTCGTGTTGTCCACTGCAATCCAGTCCTGAATTAATTACAAAAATGCTTTTTTATTAAAAGTATCTTAATTTTGTTAATTTTTCAACACATTTACCGAAAACACATAGAAATCCGAATTGGATTAACAAAAGAGTTATAATTATTTTCATGTTTCAATCAAATTGGGTCTGTTTTATTAAAAACTGATTTTTATTGTATTAATCTAAATGATTTCCAATATTTATAGCAATTTTTCATTTACGAGTTTGTTTTCAAACGGATTTTGAAAAAAGTGTGTGAAAAACACAGTTGTGTCTTACATCTCATGTTATTAATAGTTTTAAATACATTTTTTATGATAAATCACTAACTAGCAAAGTCTATTAAATAGGTACTTATTTCAAAATGAGTTACACAATTCAGTTATTCTTATATCTAATCATGTTGTTTAATACAAAAAAATTCTGCATAATCAATGGTTATTGTGATGGTATTGTAATAACATTGTGTAATTATTACCCGTTTTTGCTAAAATATTTACGATATTTAACTTTAAAACTTTTAATGCAATAATTTTTAAAGGTTTATTTAGGTTTTATTGACTCAAAATTTTATCAAAATTAGAAACAATGTTAAATTCTAATAATTTATATTAGAATATTACTCAAATACTGAGTACATCAGTATACATTATCAGGGTTATCAGGGTACATCTATTGTTTGGGACAATCAGCCGGTTTGACACAAAGGTTGTTAACTTTGTCGCGAACTGTTCCCGATTTACAGACACATCCAGCCTTTCGGATGATCGCCTGACACAAGGGTCCCCTCGGGTTAGCACATGTAGGCGGACAGGCAGACATAGATTGAACATATGTTTGATTTGCAGGACATTGTGGGCTCATTATTCTGTTCAATGGATTCAAACAAAACTTTTATTAATATTGTTTCAATATAGTATTGAAATGGATACTCACGGGTTGGGGCACTGGCTCTGAGGGACACACTTTCCGGAAGTGGTGTCTCTGATGGTGCCGGTAATGCACTGACACGACGCCACTTCTTCGAGAGCGAAGCAATGGATTTGATGCAGGTTTTGGCACGTATAGGGACAGGCAGGTGTCGGTGATGTCATTGCCTCATTAGGTCCATTGCAATCGGATCCTCATTTAATAGTAACATTATGATTGTATTAAATATGCATAAACTTTAAAGATTTTTACCCAAAACACATAGAAATCCCAATTGGATGGACACGAGAGTTATAATTATTTTCATGTTTTCAATTATATCTGTTTTATGCGAACATAAAATGCTTATTGAATGAATCAAAACGATAACCAATATTTATATAAGTTTCATAATTGATGAGTTTGTTTTTGTAAGAATTATCATAAAGTGGTACTGTTTCTTTTAGTGATAAATTACCAAACTCTTATTAGGTAATAATTTACGCAACTTTATTTAAAAATTGGTAAAAACATCTTTAATATAATTGACAGTAATAATTATATAAAAAAATAAATTTATAATATTTTTGTGAATTAATAAATTGTGAATTAACCATTGAAATATTTATATTCTTAATTGAAATAAAATATTACTCTTATTTTGCTCAAAAATTACACTTATTTTATATATTACTTTTAGTTATGTTAACTTTTGTTTATTTGATTTTTTCCAGATTACATTGATTCAGAATTTTAAACACAAATAAGTTATACCAATATTAAAATTCTAAGTATTTGTCATAATTATATTGGTTAGATATACATTTATTTTTAGGGACAATCAGCAGGATTGACACAAACGTTGTTAACAGTGTCGCGAACTGTTCCCGATATACAGACACACGCCGGGGGATAGCGGAGGGCCTTACACAAGGGTCCAGTCGGGTGGGCACAGGTATAGTAACAGACCGGAGAAAATGTTGAATATTTCTCATTTATTCCGCATCCATTGGCCTGTCGTTTATGTTTTCTGTTCAATGAATTCAACATAACTTTACTTTAAAAGTCGACTCAAAACAGTATTGAAATGAATAGTGTGCTCACGATTTGGGGCATTGGCTCTGAGGGACACACTTTCCGGAAGCGGTGTCTTTGATCGTGCCGTTAGTGCACTGACACGACGCCACATCTTCGATAGCCATACATCGCATGGAGTTACGGCTCTGACAAGTGAGGGGACAGGCAGGTGTCGGTGATGTTAGAGCCTCATTAGGCCCATTACAAGTAAGTCCTAAAACAATGTTAATATAATGATTGTATTAAAAATGTTTTGATTATTGAAATCAATTGTTTTGAGAACAGTTACCAAAAACACATAGAAATCCCAATTGGATGGATACGAGAGCTATAATTATTTTCATGTTTTCAATTCTATCTGTTTTATTAAATCACAGATTATTGTATGAATTGAAACGATAACCAATATTTATAGGAATATTTTATAATTAATGAATTTGTTTTTACAACGATTGTGAGAAAAGTTGCGTTATAAATCATTGACTGAACATATTTTTAATTTTAAATACATTTATTTAATGATAAATCACCAGACTTTTGTTAATCAAATATTAATTACCCTGTTTGACACCCTATAGTCCGTACACTATCTGAGAAAAAGTGATTTTTTTGATAATGTAAGGGGCACAAAATTTTAACAAATTATAAATTTAAAAATTCATTTATAATAATTTCAAATTAAGTTCAAATCAATTACAAATCAATATTACTTCACAGCAATTAAAGTATTTTTATAACTAAATAACTCTTACTTTAAACAAAATTTCTTTTCAGTTGAATATTAACCAAAATCAATGTTTTGAAAATTTTGTAAATAATGAACACTAAATAAATTTATAAAATTCAACATTTTAATCTCTTTATCTTATATTAAGATACTGTTTAGTAGACACTTTGTGTTAAACTTATGCCTAGATATCTAAGATAATCAGTTGTTCTAAAGTTACTTAAATTCCATTCATCGACACCTGGGTATATACTATATATACTATATATCAATGTTATATTCAATAATATAATGTGTGTCCCATCGTATTAGCACGACTTTTTAATTAAATTTAAAATATTTACAATTATATTTTGCTAACAAAAACTATACCAAAATGTTGGAAATTTATTAAAATTTTTTGTTCAATTCATAAAATATTCATCAAATGCCTACCCTGGTCATAATTTTAGTTATACTGCATGCATGTCTGTTTTGCGTAATACCATAGTAATAGTACTGTACAACTGTCACCGAATGCTCGCATCAATGCTTTGTAATCATAGCGCTCTAAGAAAATAACGATTTTTTTGCATAAAAATCAGACATGCATGCAATCAAACTAAAATTATGACCAGGGTATGGATTTTATGAATTCCACATAAAATTCTAATAAATTTCCAACATTTTGGTATAATTTTTGTTAGCAAAATATAATTGTAAATATTTTAAAATTAATTTAAAAGTAGTGCTAATACGATGGGACACCCGATATTTATGCCCACTATATGTAGGATTCGCATTATACAGTATGAGCAAAAAACATATTTTTGTAGAGTACATAATGGAAATGCACTATACGATGGGACGACTTATAGGGCCTCAAACAGGGTAATGTAATTTGATTTCAAAATTAGTACAATACATCATTAATACTGTACCTGTAAAACTTATACATTTACATAACTAATAAATTATTAGCAATAATAAATATATTTAAATTTTTAATATTTCTAATACTCTCCTCAATCAAGTCACCATGGATATATTTATAGTACCAATTGGAAATACTAAACTTATTATGCAAAAATATTTAGGTTATTTATAAAATTATCATACCTTAATTCATTTGAATGATTCAAATGAATTCTCTCGAATGGGAAATTGGCTCTAGCACACAATTTTGCTGATAACTTATCTATAAGATATCAGAGCACTGACACGACTGTCCAATTTTAATGGATAACTTCGAACATAGTTGTTCTCACAGATGATGAGACAGTAGGTTATATTGTGATTGATACTCATGGTCTACATCGCAAACCAGTCCCAGTCAGTGAGTGTTTAAATTATTGGTTTTATGAAAATACATAGATTACTACCTAGTTTATACCTAGTTTACCCAAATCACATAGAAATCCTAATTGAATTAAAGGACGAACTATATTATTTTCATGTTTTCAAACTGTATATCTTTAACAAAACATAAATATTATGTTTACTTGAAACAATTTCCAATATTTATAGCAATTTTATAATTGATAGATTTATTTTTCAAAGAGATAATCATACATATTGTGGTCTAGATTCTAGATTAAAGTTTTTAATCATTTCAAATTCATTTGTTCTAATATTTATTGATAAATCACCAGAATCATATTTATTAAATTATATTTAACCTCATTATACCGCACATTGAGGTTAGTTATTAATAATAACTTATTATGTTCAATGAATTCAACATAAGTTTTTTTTAAAA